TTTCTATAAGAAATTCTTTGAACTAAAGCACAGATGTACTTTTCTTTAACAATGACACCTAATTTGTATTAGCAAAGCTTTCAGTTTAAAATGAATATACAATTAGGAAAATAGGCCTTCAGTGTCATTTTGAATTCTACATTGTATTAAAAAGAATCTCACTACTATGAAATGAGTGACAAAATTAAACAAATTTAGAAAACGTTTGGTTTTGGTACAATGTAAATTAAAGACCTTTGAGGGAGTCCTAAAAAATGTCCTTTTAAACATCTAGCATTTTACAGGCCCCAAGTTAAATAGAATTGCTTTCTCAAAATTTCAACTTCTCAAAATGAATGATCAGTTCTCTTGAAACATGAAAATAGTTCCCAAGAAGGACAGACACCGAGGTCACTTGTCTTTATTCATCTATCACCAGATTTACAAATCTTTTTAAAATTTATTTTTAAAAAATTATTTTTATTTTATGTGTATGAGTGTATTGCCTGCATGTATGTAAGTGCACCTGTGTCCTGCAATGCCCCCAGAGGTGAGAAAAGGGCATCGGATTCCCTTGAAACTGGAGTTACAGACAGTTGTTAGCCGCCATGTGCTAAGATTTAAAGCCGGGTCTTCCACAAGAACAGCCAGATCTCTGGTCAACCGCTGTGTCATCTCTCCAGTTCCCTAAAAACCTCTTTACTCTGCAAATTTGTGCTGCCAGTGGAGAATGATGAATCCCAAAGGATGGACAAAAACTGTGAGTCACAGCTGAGCAGCATGCTGGCTCACAAAACAACAGAAACTGGGTGGCCTGCTCAGCACACTGTAAGAGCAACTATCTCTGTAACCTCTGACTTCTCTGACACAGCGCTGGTACTGTGCTGCTTCTCCCTCCTGTAATAGGGCCATGATGCTCTGGTTTATTTCTTCCAACCCTGTTACTCATAAGTGGCTAGTTTTTATCCTATATTTTAATTATTCAGTGATTGGGTTGAATGACCTTTTACAAGGCAGCCTGCCAGTTTACGGATGTTCTTTCTGCTGTAAGTAGCCCGATAACTGTCTGTGCTATAAACTCATTTGTTTATTCAATAAATATTTACTAAGTACTGTGCATGTGCCAGGCACTTTACTCAGCACTGCTGAGGAAGCAGTTATTAAAGTACAAACCCTCCCCTCATGTCACGAACACTCCATGATGGTTAGTAGGATGAAGGATCTGTAATGTGCCCTCTGGGTTAGGAAGAGACTTACAGATATTAGTAATTTTGACATCTGAGATCTATGGGGGAAAAAAAAACCCAATTTATTGTGCAAATGTAATGATATAAACTTTTCAGGAGGGATAAAGCGAGAGGAAAGCACATAGATCAACATATAATGAGCTACAATGGCCTACCTCCTAGGCCTATGATGTAGTCAAATTGTGCAACCACTCATTCAGTTTTCTGAAATAGTAATAATAATATGCATTACAAAGTTTCATTGTAAGGGAGAAATGAAACAATGCATATAAACTGCTTAGATAATAGCTGTCATGGAAGTGTTTTCTCTTATTATTAAATAACTATACTATTGGAAAAAGCACCCCTACAAATATTAACCCTTAGCTATTGTGACATGGTTGAGGGGTTTGTCATAAAATGTCACAACTTTGAGTCAGTCTTGCCGGTCCAGAAACTAGTGAAGAGGATTGACATGGTTCCTGGGACTCAGAGACACAGGTGGGGTCCCATGCATGCTGAATTTTAATAATGGTAGTACAGCTTTGTGCAAATAATTACTTTTATTCCACTGAAGTCATAGTTACCGCTATAAAAAGCTTAATTAAAAAAAAATTTCTAGGACCAGTAACCCAGCATAGAACTGGGAAAATGAACAGTAGACCCCAATCTTATCTAAAGGAATATTGATAACTGATTGCTGCTAGATGACGAAGAGCTGACCTTCCTAAAACAAGGAACTCTAGATAGGCTGACTAGATTCAGCGGATAGACAAGCACTGGGGTACTGCTGGGGGCACTGACAACACAGTATACAGTAACAGGGATGACAGAGTATATGGGCTCCAGTTGGGGGGGTGGGTAGGCTACGGAAGGGTGCCATTTGAGATGTGGGTATATAGATGAATAAGATTGTTTGGAATGTTCTGTATGAAATACACACAAAAAAAATCAATAAATAAAAAATGAGTTATATTTGAGGAAGAAGCATAAAAATTTGCTACATGTTAATTAGTAGAGGTGAAAAACATTACCATTGAAATCTACCTGGTGATTTTATATCCATGCTCATGTGCCAAGGAGCTCAGAAAGTAATCAACTGTGACAGTAATAATCAGATACAAAGAGATTAGAGACACATGTACAAATATCTTAGTAGCATTAAAAATGAGTTTTTCTGTATAAAATAATATATTTTAAAATGAAATGGAGATCTTTTTTAAACGTTAAAACCTCACTTAATTTTATGACTTGTAGGGTTTTATACTGAGTTCAATATTGTATAACTGTATTAATTCAACCATGAACCTAAAAATGTACAGCCAATTTTGAAAGAGATGCATCTTTGCTCTGGAAATGGTTATTGAATATGTTCATGCTGTAATGAAGTGCTTCTTCTAACCATGTGGTTATTAAATAAATATTTTTAAAAAAATCTGGAACATGCAGGCAGTTGATAACAAAATTTCAAGAATTCTTGGACAGAATTTTGTTCCTCTGTAGGTAGTATAAATAGTCATGAGGTTATTTGTTTGAAAGATTCTCCAGTAGAGATATAATCAATGTTTTCATTTTTATTTGCCTTTAAAAGCACCCTATGTCATTTATTAAGGGATCCTGATGGGTTGGCCCATTACTAAATGCAACTAAAGACATATATAATTCTTAAAAACTCTCTTGAGTTAAGACATTTTTCAGTTTTTCTGTCAGTCCACTCACATCAGAGATTATGCTGAATTTCCTCTTTTATATTTAAGTGTTTAATTTTAATAACAGTATTTCTTTTAGAGGTGAAAATCTGTACAGGTGTTCCAGTGCTGGAACGGATGGTTAAGCAGGAAGTCAGGGAAGAAATCTAGCGGGCATGAGAATGTGGGGAGAATCCTTTCCTCTTACCTCTAACTGAATGGGGCCTTGGTACAGGTGTCTAATGCCTCTGCCCATGTATCCTCAGGGTACACTGTGATCTCTTCTGATTTCATAGAAGGAGCAGAGCCCAAGGGCTGAGGATCTGGACACCCAGTCTAGATGGCTGACTGACTTACTCTATACAAGTATGAAAACCACAGGTACTCCTGGACTTCTTGTTTGTGAATTAGGATAAAAACTTCTCACAACAACTTTGTGGGATATAAAATGCTGTGTTTTAAATATGTTCTTTTAAAACAGTTATTTATTTATTTTGTGTGTGCATGCATATTTATGTGGAGGTCAGAAGACAAACTATGGGAATTGTTTCTCTCTTTTAATCATGTGGGTTCCAGAGATTTAACTCAGGTCATCAGGCTTGGCAGAAATTGCCTTTAGCTGCTGTGCCATCTAGCCAGACTCACTATGTATTTTGAAAGAGTTCTTGAAGAGCATGGGACTCTGCTGCTGTTGCTATGGGCTGTGTGTGAAGATGATAAAACAAAATCTCATTTTCTCTAATTATTTAATAATTTTCAAGTACAACAAATGACCATGATGAAGGGGTCATTCTACCCCTTTTTTTGTCTCGGTTTTTTGTACTTGTTACTTTTCTGGACTCACATATTGGAAAATAATCAAACCCTACCCCAACCAAGACCCAGAGCCAATTTTAGTTAAAAACAACACAGGGAAATTTGTCTATGACACTTTAAGTGACTATGACTGAAAGGCGGAAACCAGGCCTAGAAAGGTTCATCCCTGGTCTCGTGCTCCATCGTTTCTAGATGGAACTGATTAATCCAAGCTTTGAGCACTGAGTCTCTTTTCAGGCTGGGTGCAACAGCACTGGAAGAACCAGGCAGTGAGAGCTCTGCCTGCAAGGGGCTGTAGAGGGAGTAGACGGGATGGACAGAAAATGACCCACAGTTAAATTAATGACAGTTGTGATAAGGAGTACAGATAAGAAGAACTTTAAAATTTCAGAGTTTCAGATAAAAACAAAACAAATCTATTTCTTAGCAATTTCTTGAAAAAGGATTTCATAACTTCTGCTCTTTCTGAATTAACAATGTTCAAAGTTAAGAAAAGTTTACTTTTATTTAATAGCATTTATGCCTTTTTCTTTCATGCGAGTTTTTAAGAGTGATAAAGGAAGATGGTGCTCTCTTCTGGTTGTGAGAGCCCTCCATGAATCGGTAACCACTTCCAAATAAGATTAGTGTCCATGCTTAAAACATAATGTATGACATTAATATGGCCTCAGGTTTCTTGCTTTGAATTCATATAACAATGCTGCTGAACTTTCAGAGGAAAAAATGGCATGCATTTTCCCTACAAAGCACTAGCTTAGTTCTGAAAGAGTCCAAGGATTTTCAGTGTCATAGTTGAAATGATTTAATAGGTGATTTGAAAAGGAGAGAGCTACTTATCAATATCAAAACATCACACAGCCAATAGTAAAGGGAACAATGCACAGGCAGCCTATAGACTGAAAGAAAACACTTGTAAATTATACATCTGATAGAGTGCTAGTATCTGAAATACATAACCGACTCATACTACGAATACAAGAAAACCAACTAACCTAATATTCAGTACCATAATCTTCAAGGAAGTGCAAAAAAAACTATAACAAAATATCACCTCATATTGCTAAAATGGTCATGATCACACACCTCCACACACACACCAGTATAACAAGTTGTGGGCAAGGATGTGAGGGCAACAGGCCCGTATACTACAAGTAACAATGGAAATTGGTACAGGCATTGGAGAAAACAGTATGGAGGAGCTTGAAAAACAACAGTGTACGCCAATAATATCTCAATGTGTCATAATGCCATGTTAAAAACAACGGCAGGCACATGCAGAAACATTGATTACCTGTTTCCTTTTCTGCTGGGCCTAAAACATAAGAAAAGAGAATTTAAGAGAAAGGCAAAGACTGATACTGCTCATGCACTATAGAAAGCCAATAAAGCAAGGAAAAGTAGCCCAACTTTTCTAACTCATTTTATTTGCTCTTGTTCTGACATGAACCTAAAGTAAAATCACTTTTTAAAAACCGAAAACAAAAATAGTAAGGGCGGAAGAAAGAAGTGAAAAAAACATGTAAGTTTCTCTCAGGGAAGGGGCAAACATTTTGTTTTTAAAGTGAGATTGTTTGGCAGTGGACTGTTAGGAGCCATTTTCTAGAATACTGTCATAGGAGATTTGAGATAAAAGAACAAACCGATGTAAGGAAAATGGGAGCAATCCCTGCTTCCTCTCCTTTTGGTCCCAGGATAGATTTACTCTATCAAAGACACACTTATTTATGTACAAATAAGAAAAGATCCTCTATCCATTGTCAAATGGACCTTGACTACAAAATAGATATGCAGAGAAATATAGTATATATCTCTCAGCATTCTTCTATAACAGCTGGAAAACATTGGCTAGAACTGCTTAGAAAGAAAGGTTTCTTTTACTCTTTTTGTAAAGGAAACAGTATTTGTGCAAAATAATCCTGGGCTGGTTGAAGGTCCCCACAAACTTTTTCTATGACATATTTGAAACATTTTAATACCTATTTTTAATATCAGTTCTTTCAGTTTGTGTTTGGAACACCCATTCTCCCAAACATGAAAATTATTTGAATGCGTATTCAAAAGCTAAAACCAAAGTGTTTATCTTCCACTTCCCTCCAATGAGCTAATGTTCATTGCTTTTTCTTTAACACAACATGATATCATAATTAATGATGTTAAACTGGTAACTAAGCAGGTTTCATGTTGTTACTCTCGTGATATAATATTGGTTGCTATGGTGATGAGATGGCTTTTTTGTTAATCACTCAGGAGGTTGGTTATCCCGTGCTTGTTAGCAAGCTTTACCAGATTTTGAGAGGGGGAAAAAAAGAATGGATAGCAAAAATTATCACAGTCTTTTTCACTGGCTGGATTTTGATAAAATTATTCTAATACCAATTAGTTCATCCATTTACCATTCATTAAACATAATTTAAAAATATTGAAACGTACTAACCTTTGGCTACAGGGTAACTTTCTTCTTATTTTCAGATATAAGAATTTAACAGACTGCAAACTTTCCCCTTCACTCTAGTAACGCTATATAATCAGTTTTACTTTAATTTGAGAAAAGATTTTTGAAGACTTTTCCCATACTTTAAAATCAGTCAAAAGAATAAAAAATAAAAGCTGATTTTGTGGCTTTGCCACAACTTCCCATCTACTTATCTCCAAATATTTAAAATATCAGTGTCCTTAATGAATAAAAGTGGAAGAAAGAGAAAAAAAGTGCACAGTCCTCTCAAGAGATCTAATCTTTCAAATGCATCAATATACCGCAAGCAATTAAAAGCTGCAGGAAGTGCTATCAGTTTATTTCAGCCCTCACAATCATCAACAAGTTTCTTCCTCCTCTGAGTGACAGTGCAGAACAGAAAATAAAATTACATAATATTACACTGACACCAAACAGGACAGAATCCGCAGCCCATAGTTTAAATGTTACGCGTACTTACAGTAATGTCAAAAAATACAACCCATGAAAACACCTTTTGGTTTCTTGAAAACTCAAAATAAGAACAAAGGACAACTTAAGCACGGATCCTGGGTCTTTCATTCAGGCAGAGTCCCAGGAGGCATATTAAAGCAATGAATAGGAAAAAGCTCTTCAGTTCGCCAGCTGAGATTTTAATGAGACATTTCCCTTTGCCACAGCGCAGGATTGTTCAGGGAAGGAAAGGACTTCTCATAGAAAATTCAGTTAATAAGCATTGTTGGCTCTCACGGCCACTTCGGCAATTGCTCACCGCACTGACCTTCTATTTTGGCATATTCTGTGAGCCTAGTGTAATTGATCAAGGCAGCTTTCTCCAGACATTTTCTGACCACTTTCTTCACCTCTTCTGCGGGTATGGGAGTGGCAATATCTTTCATTAAAACCTACCGAGAGGAAAGAGAAGCGAGGTGGGCAGGGAGGAAGAGAGAGAGATGGTGCATAAAATACATACTAAAAGCAAATTACACAGATTGTCCCGGACCTGAGTGTTCCTAGGAAGGGGGAGGGTTCCTCAGTAACTTGTGGGAAGTAATGAGGCGGCACTTCACAACTGGGACCTAATCCTCCAGTCTTGGTTCCTCCCGCCTAAGCCTCATTTGTGCACATCAAAACCTCCCATAGGCCAGGTCACCATTCAGTATGACTGTCACTTTTTCTCCAGGGACCTCGACACCATCATAGCAGATGTTTCAGATCAGGATTACAGTTCTTGAGACAAGGGATAAACAAAGTTTGTCTTGTACAGTCCTAATTTAAAAGCCCTAGGTCTTTTGAATACATTTGAAAATCAAGAAAAATTCCATCATAAATGGGCATAATTTTCAAGCTCTGTAAAAAGAATCACTAATTGAACTTTAATGATTGTGATGTGTTGAACACACTATGGTACACTCGACAGAGGGAAGAAACTTGTTTTTTGCCTTAGTGAAATGAATGCTTATGGAACAGCAGATGCTAAAAAACTGTATAATTTTTCTGTGTTTTGGGGGGGAAAAGGATGCTGATTATTCTTTGTCCAATACCTAAAATGTATTCTTGAATTTTTTTCCCCATAAAATGTTTTATGGCTGGCAGGGGGCAAATAGCATTATATATATAAAAGATAACTTAAAATGCTTTTATAATCATTTCCTGATACTTTTCTTCAGAACGTTTTACTGATCAAAGTATTCATGATGATTATACTAGTCAAACTATTTTTTGATACACTTAATGGAATTGCCATGCTTTATTTATATCCAAATGATGATCTGCAAGTGTTCTAGGTAGTCTACTGGTGTTTCATCATGAAAAAGACATTGAAAGAACATGAAAACATCCATCAATTCTTTATGATTTCATTCTCTGCTGCAGCCTCATCACTGAGCAGTGATTTTACACTCTAATTTATTCAATCATCAAAGTATCAGTAACCTTTGCCAGCATTTTAACATTTATTTAGGCAAGACTGTCTTTCTAGAAAATGTAACTTTATCATTTAAAAAAATCTTTATCAAAGTCAATTATTCTTCATATTATTGCAAAATATATTTGGCACTTCAGAACCACACATTAGATACTTTGTTGCCAGAAAAGAAGAAAAAAACTTTTGTGCATAGTAAAATATAGGCATCAAATGTGTACTATTATATTTGAAACCTTTACCAAAATTTTACCATTAAGAGGAATATTGTTGCATATACAGAATTATGAACCATACCATTAGGCTTCCTATGCTGAAATGGAAATGGAAACAGTAACTGGAAATTAAAATGTATATGTTGGCTACAGAGTTCAATCTAGGCTTTAAATGAGAGACTATTTCATACTAAGAGCCTGGACATTTAATTTGGATGAAAGATCTGAATCCTGGGTCCTGTCAAAGTGTTTCCCCCACTGTGTTCCTCCAAACTATTCAGGGTATTAAGAATTCACACATAGTTTTATATTGTTTTTCTAAGTTTCCAGTAAGTAAAGAGATTTAAAAAATGAAGAAATGGCCCTTAGTATTTCTCTTTCAATTCAAGAAGAGATGTGATTAATGATGGCAGCTGGAAAAGGGTCACTGTCTCCCTGCCACCTGTCAAGGCAGGACACAGGCATCTCCGCTATTACTATCTCTTCCCTGCTGGGAGGAGGACCAAGGCTCTGCCATGGAAACAGGATACAGAGAGGCTGTGTGAGGTACCCAGGATAGTATGCAGTTCCAAAAAGTCAAGTAATCTTTAAGGAACTGACTTTCTTCACTACTAAGGAATCCAATGAAATGAATACTCTGAGAAGCCTAGGCTACATGTAACCTTTAATAACGAAGACCCTAGTAAAGCACATTTTTTCTAATAATATATCTATTACTCAGTGTACACAAAGTAGAAATAAAGATATGATATATGTGAAATCAACCTATAATCTGATGATTTCATTTTAATCATCCAGTCTAGCCTTTGTCTTTCAAATTTAGAACGTTTCCTCTGTTTGTAATAGAGATGCCAAGAAACAAAACAATTTCTAAAGTTAATTTGGCAGGAAATTAGACAATATGAAGTCACTAATCAGGACCAGAATAATTAAACCATGAGTTATATAACTAAAAATTGTTTATAATTCAGATATTGAAGAGGAGCTAAGATCACATTACTTAGCAGTTAGCATTTGAATAGTATATAAATGGGTTTATTAACAGATGAAAAAGATAACTTTCTTTTAAAATTTCAACTGTCACTAAACCAGAATACGATTTCATTTAAAAATTGTTTAAAACATTTTGGAGGGTTTATTTTTATGTATATGAGCACTTTTCTGCATGTGTCTCTGTGTGTGCAATGCTCACAGAAGCCAGAAGAGGGCGTTGGAGTCTCTGGAAATGAAGTTATTGACAGTAGTTAATTGCCATGTGGGAGCTAGGACTCAAACCCAGGCCCTCTGCAAGAGTAGCTAGTGCTTTTAACTGCTGTGCCATCTCTCGTGGCCCCCAAATTTTTTTTAGCATGGACTTAAAAATCATGCTTGCTATTTATTTTTGTAGTGGAAAGTATTTCTAGAACATGCAAATTCAGTTATGACATCATACGAAATGGAGAGACTGAAATGGATTTTTAAAAAAATGACACACCTTTGCATTTAAAATGGTAAACTCTAAAATAAAAGGAAGGAAGGGAAGAAAGGAGGGAAGAAAGGAGGGAGGGAGGGAGGAAGAAAGAAAGGAAAGAAAAGAGGGAAAGGGACAGAAACTTCATGAGATGACAGGTTGGATAAAAAGCCTGAAAGATAGAAACTACAAAAAGAAAATGGTCCCACGACTTCAGGATACGGTGGTGGTGGAAAGGCTTCTGGGAGGAAGAAAAACAGAGAATGAAAGGGAAGTAAGAAAAGGTGAGACATTCAGGTAGTGCAATGGGTGCATCGGAGTCAGACTTCTGAGGGATGCTTAGTTCAACAGTTGAAAATATATAGCCCCTGAAAACATGAACAGCATTTCTAAGTGAAGTCTCATACGTACCCTTTCAAGTAATGAAAGTGTAGCTTTTAGAGCACCTTCAGGTCGTCCAAAGGGAAAACAGTATCTGATAAAACAAAAGAAGAAACAGAAACATCAAAAATCTAATGCTGAGCCAAGAGCCAGGTGATCGCAGCTTCTCTTACCTGACACTATGCAGAGCCTTGAAAAGAAGTTAAAATAGCACCAAATCATCTTGGAATATTTAACTGCCAAAATTTATCTACTCTATAATTTCAAAGGCTTGAAACTAGAAACTCATCAAACATGATGAAAAAGTTCTCAAGTTTTAATGATACATGCACTAAAAGAACAGGGATGAAATAGAACCTCGACTTGCCAATAGCTGGCAAGTTAACACACAATACCTAATAACTTGCTGTTTAAGGTTTGATATTTGAGCTCTAGGAGAAAATGAAATGACTTATCTCACTCCATCCTATATTCATGTGTGGTGAAAGAAGGTCAAGCCTACTGTACACCTAACTTCTAAGATGAGAAACTTCCAGTCTTCCCCTTCAGGGACACATGCCTGGCTACTAGTGATTAATTCTTCCACCTCCCTGTAATACATGTAAACCCTCATCAGATTTTCTCCAGAAGTCATCTGTCCTATGTGTTTCTAGTTTAACAAATTCTAACTGCAGAGCATCAAGTAGAAGACAAGTAATGGAGATATTCTGAAACCCAGGCCAGAAGCAAGGCTTGGGGAGGGAGTGGGCCCCTTCTAATGTTAGTGGCCACAGGGTGGGAACAGGTGCATTTTTTTCTTCTTCTCAATCTCTACTTGAGCATCAGAACCCGTACATCCTGCTGGAGTTGCTAGCTTTGTTGAACCAGATTCAGCAAAGAACCCCCCTCTGAGGCCTCAGCTCCCTCCATAGGGTCAAGACTGCAGGCAGCTGGCTGTCCTTATGCTGCCGCGTTGCTCTCACATATAAAGTTGCCATCTAATGACTTGGAGAGTTTACTTATCTCCATGACCTTTTCAGTTATCCAGTGGTCATAGAATTATATACATACATGTATGTGATTTCACGCTTAGAGTTTTATGTAAGAGGACACAGGCAGGAAGGATGTACTTTTTTGGGTCTGGGTGCTCACTTGGCATAGAGTTTCTGAAATTGAGAGAGAGAGAGAGAGAGAGAGAGAGAGAGAGAGAGAGAGAGAGAGAGAGAGAGAGGAGGAGAATATTTTATTCGACTATTTTTATATTTATT